GGATGGTGGACCTGCTCAGGCCACAGGCAGCCCCAGGCCGTGAGCGGGAGGCCCCCGGGCTAAGGTGTTCGGCGGCAGTGGAACGAGAAGGTGGGAGAGTCCCAGAGCACAAACCTGGGCATGAAGGGGCCTTCGGGCTTTTTGAAGTGGTACTGGACGTTCTCCCAGCCAGGGAAGGTCACAGGGCTGGCCACACCGGACGGACAGCCGTCCTCAGCAAGGTCGAAGGTGGTGTTCAGGTCTCGGACGGGGAGTGCAGCTGGAGTGCAGCAGTTCTGGGCAGCAGACGTGGTCAGAGGCACCCGGGTTCTGGTGACAGTTGAGGGGCAGGCCTTGGGGACGCAAGACGGCACTCGCTGGGATGTGGCTTGCCCTGAGGACGCCAGCCGATTCGGTGGGGGAGCCCCTTGGCTGGCCCGGAAGGGAGCGTTTCCGTTGACGCTTCGCCTGCGGTTTTGGCGTGGGAGACGCTCCTGCGCTGGATGGGCTGCTCATTTCCGACCGTCTCCGCTTCTTGGTTGGCGGGCAGGGCGCCTCGGAGGAGGGACCGGGGGGCAACCAAGGCTCTTGCAAGGACCGGGTCAGAGACCTGGTCATCGGCGCGGCACGCTCTGCGGCCGGGCGACCCTGCGGCCAGGCGGCCGATGGCACCACTAGGAATGTAGATAGGCAGAGTGTTAAGAGAAACAGCCCACCCTGAGCAGACACTGGGGCAGCCCCCGAGCAGTACTGCGGTGTCTCCTGCAGCCCCCAGCCCAAAGCGGGGGGGAGGGACATGGCTCTAAGGCCTCTGTCCTGCCTGGTGGGCCTGAGCTCGATGTGTAAAACCAGCCCCTGGTCTGCGCACAAGCAGGCTGTTCTCAGGGAGGGGCACCCAAGGTCTCTCCCTTTCCTGCAATCCAGAGGCCAGGCGTTACCCTCTCCTACCCAAGTCGGCCAAGATAAAGAAGTAGATGTTACCCTGGGCCAAGTCGCCTAGAGAACAACGGGGAGAAAAGCTTAGAGATGGCAGCAACGGGGGTGATACTGTGTTTGGTGTCTGCTCTAGACCAGATCAGGTGGATGAGGCAGACGAGGATTTCTTCAGACAACTGAGAGAAGCCTCCAGATCGTAGCCCCTGGTTCTCATGGGGGACTTGAGTCACCCTGACATCTGTTGGGAGACCGATACGGCAGGACACAGGGAATCCAGGAAGTGTTCGGAGAATGTTGGGGATAACTTCCTGGTACAAGTGCTGAAGGAACCTGCTGCTCACAAACAGGGAGGAACTAGCAGGGGAAGTAGAAGTGGGTGGCACCCTGGGGAGCAGTGCTCAGGAGATGGTCGAGTTCAGGATCCTGACCAAAGGAAGAAAGAAGAGCAGCAAAATACACACCCTGGACCTCAGAAAAGCAGACTGTGACTCCCTGAGAGAACTGATGAGTAGGATCCCCTGGGATGCTGACATGAGGGGGAAAGGAGTCCAGGAGAGCTGGCTGGATTTTAAAAAAGCCTTATTGAAGGAGTAGGAACAAACCATCCTGCTGCGCAGTAAGAAAAGCAAATACGGTAGGTGACCAGCTTGGCTTAGCAGTGAAATCCTTGGTGACTTAAACACAAAAAGGAAGCTGACAAGAAGTGGAAACTTGCTCAGGTGACCAGGGAGGGGTATAGATACACTGCTTGAGCATGCAGAGGTATAATCAGGAAAGCCAATGTGCAATTGGAATTGCATCGGGCAAGGGATGTGAAGGGTAACAAGAAAGGTTTCTACAGGCGTGTTAGCAATAAGAATGTTTTCAGGGAGGATATTGGGACCCTTAGTGGATGAGGGAGGTAACCTAGTGACAGATGATGTGGGAAAAGGTGAAGTACTTAAGGCTATTTTTACCTCAGTCTTCACAGACAAGATCAGCTCCCAGATTACTGCACTAGGCAATGCAGCATGGGAAGGAGGTGGGCAGCCCTCGGTGGAGAAAGAACAGGTTAAGAACTATTTAGAAAAGTTGGACACACACAAATCCATGGGGCCGGATCTAATGCAGCCAAGCCTGTTGAGGGAGCTGGCTGATGTGACAGCAGAGCCTTTGGCCATTATCTTTGAAAATTTGTGGAAAGTGGGGGAGGACCTGGACAATTGGAAAAAGGCAAATGTGGTGCCCATATTTAGGAAAGGGAAGAACAATCCAGGGAACAACAGACCAGTCAGCCTCACCTCAGTCCCCAGAAAAATCATGGAGGGGATCCTCAAGGAATCCATTTTGAAGCACTTGGAGGAGAAGAAAGTGATCAGGAATAGTCAACATGAATTCACCAAGGGCAAGGCGTGCCTGACCAACCTGACTGCCTTCTTGGGAAAACAAAAAAGCCGTCTATGCCATGAGCCTTCTTGGCTACAAGGGCACCCTGGTGACCCACTTCTTCAGATCATGTTCTGAAAGTGAATTGTCATGACCATTATATAGCAGAGGGATACAATGGAAAAAGTAAACACATTACAAACTAACAAATCAGCTACCTAGAACAGAAGGTGGGGGCGAGGGGACAAGGAAGGGACAAGGAAAGAGAAAATTGCTTATTGTAAGAGTCAATTGAGTGGCTGATCTGGAGTTACTACGACTATCAAAGGTGGGGAAGCTGCCTGTCTCTTCCTTGTCCCCTCGCCCCCACCTTCTGTTCTAGGTAGCTGATTTGTTAGCTTGTAATGTGTTTACTTTTTCCATTGTATCCCTCTGCTATATAATGGTCATGCCAATTCACTTTCAGAACATGATCTGAAGAAGTGGGTCACCAGGGTGCCCTTGTAGCCAAGAAGGCTCATGGCATATTAGGATGCATTAGGAGGAGCATTGCCAGCAGATCTAGAGATGTCATCATTTCCCTTTATTTGGCACTGGGGAGGCCACATCTGGAGTATTGTGTCTAGTTCTGGGCCCCCCACTACAGGAAGATGTGGACACACTGGAGAGGGTTCAGCGGAGGGCAACCAAAATGATGCGGGGGCTGAAGCACATGAGCTACGAGGAGAGGCTGAGGGATTTGGGCTTGTTGTGTCTGCAGAAGCGAAGAGCGAGGGGGGATTTGAGAGCAGCCTGCAACTTCCTGAAGGAGGTTCCACAGAGGCTGGCGAGAGGCTGTTCTCAGCGGGGGCAGGTGGCAGAACAAGGAGCAATGGGCTCAGGTTGCAGGGGGGAAGGTCTAGGTTGGATATTAGGAAAAATTATTTCCCTAGGCGGGTGGGGAAGCCCTGGGCTGGGTTCCCTAGGGAGAGGCTGGAATCTCCATCCCTGGAGGTCTTTAAGTCCCGGCTGGGCTGATTGAGTTGGGTGGGTCCTGCCTTGGGCAGGGGGCTGGACTCGATGACTCCTGAGGGCTCTGTGAACCCCACCCCCAGCACAGAGCTCTTACCTTGACCTGGGTGGGGGAGGTGCTGCGGCGGCAGAGCCCATAGGCACTTGGTATTGCTACTGACTCGAGCTGGCAGGTGCCTCTGGCCAGGGGCAGAAGCTGCGAGGCAGATCTCCAGGCCCTTGTCCGGATGCTGATTCGGGGCGAGGGGTAAGCTTCCCCAGCCAGCAGCTGGAAGAGCCCTGGGGCCACTGGATGGCTACTGACTCGAGCTGGCAGGTGCCTCTGGCGAAGGGCAGAAGCTGCGAGGCAGATCTCCAGGCCCTTGTCCGGATGCTGATTCGGGGCGAGGGGGAGGCTTCCCCAGCCAGCAGCTGGAAGAGCCCTGGGGCCACTGGGGGGTGCGCGCACCAAGAGCACTGACGTCTAACCCTAGAATTACAGCTGAGCCCTGGGAGGTCTCTAACCCTCACTTCCCTGCCCGGCAAGCCCAGGAAGCCCCGATCTGTCGCGTATGGAGAGGGGCCTTGCGGAGCTGCGGCCGGGCGGGGCTGGGAGGTGGACGGGCTGTGCCCAGGCTTTGTGAATGGGATTAAATTGCCATTTAAATGGCCACAGGCAACATTTTAAATTGTCTCCCCACAGGGCAGGAGCTACAGGGAGGTTCCTTTGACACAAAACTGCCCTTGGCTCTTAGTGCTCCAGAGGAAGCCGGGTTACGCCCCAGGCCACGACCCCGCCGCCGGCTCAGTGACGCCCGGGGGCACTAAGCCAGGGCAGGACTGAGCGGGAGACACCGACTGAAGAGTGCTCACGGCCCCCTCGGTCCACGCGCGGAGGGTCTCCACACAAAGGGGGCGTGCTGCCAGGGGAGGGCGCCAGTGGAGTCTAGGGAAGCCCTAGTGAAAGCGGTGGCAGTGCCACGCTCACGCCTGCCCCGAGGGGCACATGTCCTCTCCTGCAACTCTGCCTGGGTCCCCAGCGCTGCACCCTCTGGCGTCGCCCTCCTCCAGCCGGGCGCGATGCAGGCACGTCCCGAACTGCCAGGGAGGAGCACCAGAGCCGGGCCGTTCCCCCTGCCAGGGAGGAGCACCAGAGCCGGGCCGTTCCCCCTGCCAGGGAGGAGCACCAGAGCCGGGCCGTTCCCCCTGCCAGGGAGGAGCACCAGAGCCGGGCCGTTCCCCCTGCCAGGGAGGAGCACCAGAGCCGGGCCGTTCCCCCTGCCAGGGAGGAGCACCAGAGCCGGGCCGTTCCCCCTGCCAGGGAGGAGCACCAGAGCCGGGCCGTTCCCCCTGCCAGGGAGGAGCACCAGAGCCGGGCCGTTCCCCCTGCCAGGGAGGAGCACCAGAGCCGGGCCGTTCCCCCTGCCAGGGAGGAGCACCAGAGCCGGGCCGTTCCCCCTGCCAGGGAGGAGCACCAGAGCCGGGCCGTTCCCCCTGCCAGGGAGGAGCACCAGAGCCGGGCCGTTCCCCCTGCCAGGGAGGAGCACCAGAGCCGGGCCGTTCCCCCTGCCAGGGAGGAGCACCAGAGCCGGGCCGTTCCCCCTGCCAGGGAGGAGCACCAGAGCCGGGCCGTTCCCCCTGCCAGGGAGGAGCACCAGAGCCGGGCCGTTCCCCCTGCCAGGGAGGAGCACCAGAGCCGGGCCGTTCCCCCTGCCAGGGAGGAGCACCAGAGCCGGGCCGTTCCCCCTGCCAGGGAGGAGCACCAGAGCCGGGCCGTTCCCCCTGCCAGGGAGGAGCACCAGAGCCGGGCCGTTCCCCCTGCCAGGGAGGAGCACCAGAGCCGGGCCGTTCCCCCTGCCAGGGAGGAGCACCAGAGCCGGGCCGTTCCCCCTGCCAGGGAGGAGCACCAGAGCCGGGCCGTTCCCCCTGCCAGGGAGGAGCACCAGAGCCGGGCCGTTCCCCCTGCCAGGGAGGAGCACCAGAGCCGGGCCGTTCCCCCTGCCAGGGAGGAGCACCAGAGCCGGGCCGTTCCCCCTGCCAGGGAGGAGCACCAGAGCCGGGCCGTTCCCCCTGCCAGGGAGGAGCACCAGAGCCGGGCCGTTCCCCCTGCCAGGGAGGAGCACCAGAGCCGGGCCGTTCCCCCTGCCAGGGAGGAGCACCAGAGCCGGGCCGTTCCCCCTGCCAGGGAGGAGCACCAGAGCCGGGCCGTTCCCCCTGCCAGGGAGGAGCACCAGAGCCGGGCCGTTCCCCCTGCCAGGGAGGAGCACCAGAGCCGGGCCGTTCCCCCTGCCAGGGAGGAGCACCAGAGCCGGGCCGTTCCCCCTGCCAGGGAGGAGCACCAGAGCCGGGCCGTTCCCCCTGCCAGGGAGGAGCACCAGAGCCGGGCCGTTCCCCCTGCCAGGGAGGAGCACCAGAGCCGGGCCGTTCCCCCTGCCAGGGAGGAGCACCAGAGCCGGGCCGTTCCCCCTGCCAGGGAGGAGCACCAGAGCCGGGCCGTTCCCCCTGCCAGGGAGGAGCACCAGAGCCGGGCCGTTCCCCCTGCCAGGGAGGAGCACCAGAGCCGGGCCGTTCCCCCTGCCAGGGAGGAGCACCAGAGCCGGGCCGTTCCCCCTGCCAGGGAGGAGCACCAGAGCCGGGCCGTTCCCCCTGCCAGGGAGGAGCACCAGAGCCGGGCCGTTCCCCCTGCCAGGGAGGAGCACCAGAGCCGGGCCGTTCCCCCTGCCAGGGAGGAGCACCAGAGCCGGGCCGTTCCCCCTGCCAGGGAGGAGCACCAGAGCCGGGCCGTTCCCCCTGCCAGGGAGGAGCACCAGAGCCGGGCCGTTCCCCCTGCCAGGGAGGAGCACCAGAGCCGGGCCGTTCCCCCTGCCAGGGAGGAGCACCAGAGCCGGGCCGTTCCCCCTGCCAGGGAGGAGCACCAGAGCCGGGCCGTTCCCCCTGCCAGGGAGGAGCACCAGAGCCGGGCCGTTCCCCCTGCCAGGGAGGAGCACCAGAGCCGGGCCGTTCCCCCTGCCAGGGAGGAGCACCAGAGCCGGGCCGTTCCCCCTGCCAGGGAGGAGCACCAGAGCCGGGCCGTTCCCCCTGCCAGGGAGGAGCACCAGAGCCGGGCCGTTCCCCCTGCCAGGGAGGAGCACCAGAGCCGGGCCGTTCCCCCTGCCAGGGAGGAGCACCAGAGCCGGGCCGTTCCCCCTGCCAGGGAGGAGCACCAGAGCCGGGCCGTTCCCCCTGCCAGGGAGGAGCACCAGAGCCGGGCCGTTCCCCCTGCCAGGGAGGAGCACCAGAGCCGGGCCGTTCCCCCTGCCAGGGAGGAGCACCAGAGCCGGGCCGTTCCCCCTGCCAGGGAGGAGCACCAGAGCCGGGCCGTTCCCCCTGCCAGGGAGGAGCACCAGAGCCGGGCCGTTCCCCCTGCCAGGGAGGAGCACCAGAGCCGGGCCGTTCCCCCTGCCAGGGAGGAGCACCAGAGCCGGGCCGTTCCCCCTGCCAGGGAGGAGCACCAGAGCCGGGCCGTTCCCCCTGCCAGGGAGGAGCACCAGAGCCGGGCCGTTCCCCCTGCCAGGGAGGAGCACCAGAGCCGGGCCGTTCCCCCTGCCAGGGAGGAGCACCAGAGCCGGGCCGTTCCCCCTGCCAGGGAGGAGCACCAGAGCCGGGCCGTTCCCCCTGCCAGGGAGGAGCACCAGAGCCGGGCCGTTCCCCCTGCCAGGGAGGAGCACCAGAGCCGGGCCGTTCCCCCTGCCAGGGAGGAGCACCAGAGCCGGGCCGTTCCCCCTGCCAGGGAGGAGCACCAGAGCCGGGCCGTTCCCCCTGCCAGGGAGGAGCACCAGAGCCGGGCCGTTCCCCCTGCCAGGGAGGAGCACCAGAGCCGGGCCGTTCCCCCTGCCAGGGAGGAGCACCAGAGCCGGGCCGTTCCCCCTGCCAGGGAGGAGCACCAGAGCCGGGCCGTTCCCCCTGCCAGGGAGGAGCACCAGAGCCGGGCCGTTCCCCCTGCCAGGGAGGAGCACCAGAGCCGGGCCGTTCCCCCTGCCAGGGAGGAGCACCAGAGCCGGGCCGTTCCCCCTGCCAGGGAGGAGCACCAGAGCCGGGCCGTTCCCCCTGCCAGGGAGGAGCACCAGAGCCGGGCCGTTCCCCCTGCCAGGGAGGAGCACCAGAGCCGGGCCGTTCCCCCTGCCAGGGAGGAGCACCAGAGCCGGGCCGTTCCCCCTGCCAGGGAGGAGCACCAGAGCCGGGCCGTTCCCCCTGCCAGGGAGGAGCACCAGAGCCGGGCCGTTCCCCCTGCCAGGGAGGAGCACCAGAGCCGGGCCGTTCCCCCTGCCAGGGAGGAGCACCAGAGCCGGGCCGTTCCCCCTGCCAGGGAGGAGCACCAGAGCCGGGCCGTTCCCCCTGCCAGGGAGGAGCACCAGAGCCGGGCCGTTCCCCCTGCCAGGGAGGAGCACCAGAGCCGGGCCGTTCCCCCTGCCAGGGAGGAGCACCAGAGCCGGGCCGTTCCCCCTGCCAGGGAGGAGCACCAGAGCCGGGCCGTTCCCCCTGCCAGGGAGGAGCACCAGAGCCGGGCCGTTCCCCCTGCCAGGGAGGAGCACCAGAGCCGGGCCGTTCCCCCTGCCAGGGAGGAGCACCAGAGCCGGGCCGTTCCCCCTGCCAGGGAGGAGCACCAGAGCCGGGCCGTTCCCCCTGCCAGGGAGGAGCACCAGAGCCGGGCCGTTCCCCCTGCCAGGGAGGAGCACCAGAGCCGGGCCGTTCCCCCTGCCAGGGAGGAGCACCAGAGCCGGGCCGTTCCCCCTGCCAGGGAGGAGCACCAGAGCCGGGCCGTTCCCCCTGCCAGGGAGGAGCACCAGAGCCGGGCCGTTCCCCCTGCCAGGGAGGAGCACCAGAGCCGGGCCGTTCCCCCTGCCAGGGAGGAGCACCAGAGCCGGGCCGTTCCCCCTGCCAGGGAGGAGCACCAGAGCCGGGCCGTTCCCCCTGCCAGGGAGGAGCACCAGAGCCGGGCCGTTCCCCCTGCCAGGGAGGAGCACCAGAGCCGGGCCGTTCCCCCTGCCAGGGAGGAGCACCAGAGCCGGGCCGTTCCCCCTGCCAGGGAGGAGCACCAGAGCCGGGCCGTTCCCCCTGCCAGGGAGGAGCACCAGAGCCGGGCCGTTCCCCCTGCCAGGGAGGAGCACCAGAGCCGGGCCGTTCCCCCTGCCAGGGAGGAGCACCAGAGCCGGGCCGTTCCCCCTGCCAGGGAGGAGCACCAGAGCCGGGCCGTTCCCCCTGCCAGGGAGGAGCACCAGAGCCGGGCCGTTCCCCCTGCCAGGGAGGAGCACCAGAGCCGGGCCGTTCCCCCTGCCAGGGAGGAGCACCAGAGCCGGGCCGTTCCCCCTGCCAGGGAGGAGCACCAGAGCCGGGCCGTTCCCCCTGCCAGGGAGGAGCACCAGAGCCGGGCCGTTCCCCCTGCCAGGGAGGAGCACCAGAGCCGGGCCGTTCCCCCTGCCAGGGAGGAGCACCAGAGCCGGGCCGTTCCCCCTGCCAGGGAGGAGCACCAGAGCCGGGCCGTTCCCCCTGCCAGGGAGGAGCACCAGAGCCGGGCCGTTCCCCCTGCCAGGGAGGAGCACCAGAGCCGGGCCGTTCCCCCTGCCAGGGAGGAGCACCAGAGCCGGGCCGTTCCCCCTGCCAGGGAGGAGCACCAGAGCCGGGCCGTTCCCCCTGCCAGGGAGGAGCACCAGAGCCGGGCCGTTCCCCCTGCCAGGGAGGAGCACCAGAGCCGGGCCGTTCCCCCTGCCAGGGAGGAGCACCAGAGCCGGGCCGTTCCCCCTGCCAGGGAGGAGCACCAGAGCCGGGCCGTTCCCCCTGCCAGGGAGGAGCACCAGAGCCGGGCCGTTCCCCCTGCCAGGGAGGAGCACCAGAGCCGGGCCGTTCCCCCTGCCAGGGAGGAGCACCAGAGCCGGGCCGTTCCCCCTGCCAGGGAGGAGCACCAGAGCCGGGCCGTTCCCCCTGCCAGGGAGGAGCACCAGAGCCGGGCCGTTCCCCCTGCCAGGGAGGAGCACCAGAGCCGGGCCGTTCCCCCTGCCAGGGAGGAGCACCAGAGCCGGGCCGTTCCCCCTGCCAGGGAGGAGCACCAGAGCCGGGCCGTTCCCCCTGCCAGGGAGGAGCACCAGAGCCGGGCCGTTCCCCCTGCCAGGGAGGAGCACCAGAGCCGGGCCGTTCCCCCTGCCAGGGAGGAGCACCAGAGCCGGGCCGTTCCCCCTGCCAGGGAGGAGCACCAGAGCCGGGCCGTTCCCCCTGCCAGGGAGGAGCACCAGAGCCGGGCCGTTCCCCCTGCCAGGGAGGAGCACCAGAGCCGGGCCGTTCCCCCTGCCAGGGAGGAGCACCAGAGCCGGGCCGTTCCCCCTGCCAGGGAGGAGCACCAGAGCCGGGCCGTTCCCCCTGCCAGGGAGGAGCACCAGAGCCGGGCCGTTCCCCCTGCCAGGGAGGAGCACCAGAGCCGGGCCGTTCCCCCTGCCAGGGAGGAGCACCAGAGCCGGGCCGTTCCCCCTGCCAGGGAGGAGCACCAGAGCCGGGCCGTTCCCCCTGCCAGGGAGGAGCACCAGAGCCGGGCCGTTCCCCCTGCCAGGGAGGAGCACCAGAGCCGGGCCGTTCCCCCTGCCAGGGAGGAGCACCAGAGCCGGGCCGTTCCCCCTGCCAGGGAGGAGCACCAGAGCCGGGCCGTTCCCCCTGCCAGGGAGGAGCACCAGAGCCGGGCCGTTCCCCCTGCCAGGGAGGAGCACCAGAGCCGGGCCGTTCCCCCTGCCAGGGAGGAGCACCAGAGCCGGGCCGTTCCCCCTGCCAGGGAGGAGCACCAGAGCCGGGCCGTTCCCCCTGCCAGGGAGGAGCACCAGAGCCGGGCCGTTCCCCCTGCCAGGGAGGAGCACCAGAGCCGGGCCGTTCCCCCTGCCAGGGAGGAGCACCAGAGCCGGGCCGTTCCCCCTGCCAGGGAGGAGCACCAGAGCCGGGCCGTTCCCCCTGCCAGGGAGGAGCACCAGAGCCGGGCCGTTCCCCCTGCCAGGGAGGCTCTCCCCCCACCCGCCGTTCCAGCTCTTCGAACTCGCAGACCATGGCAGGGGTGAGGAGGTTGGCAGCCTGGAGCAGAGCGTACTGCCTCTGCGCAACTTGCAGGACAGCGACTACCAGCCTGGGACACAGGGCCGGGACATGAGCTTCACTGCGTCAGATGGACAACGCTGTCACCAACGGCCTAGCGCAGCGCCACGGGCCCCCGCTCCGTCCCCCC